CGAGGGCCATGTGCCCTCTGGGCCGCGGTTATCAGTGTGCCGCGCCCCAGAGTCTGCCTTTCTTTACTCCACTGGCCACAAACGCTATTTTGGGACCCCTGCCTAAGACTCCAGATGAGGCTTCAGAGTTAACAAATTGTTAAAGAGAGGCAGGGAGAGCCACACAGCACCACACCTGCATCCACAGCTTAGTTCGTCGTGCCCGAAGCAGCCCACCCGTCTTTTTTTTTCAGTATCTGGGATGAGGTTAGAACTTTTGTGCCAGGCAGGCGTGGTGCCACTGAGCTACATCCCGGCCCACCCCAACTTTTAAGAATAAAAATCCTCTGGTTTTAGGCCTAAGTAGCAAGGATTATCCTGAGCTAAAGGCGACTGAGAATCAACCTGTGCAGAACACACTCTCCGTCCTCCTTTTTCTCCTTTTTCTGCCAAGAAGCAGGACATCGACTGCTCTCGCTGCCCCTGCACCAGGAAGGTGAGCAGCAACCAGTCGCCCGGCCCTCATTCCCGGGGTGGTCACCGTCTGGGATGGCGGGAAGCCCACGGCTCACCTCTCCCTTGAGGCTTCTCTTCTGTCTTGGGAAGCCTTCCTGCAAGGAGAATGACAATATGGATAACATTTTTATTAACTTTAAAAAATGTTTTGTTTATTTATTTATTTTGCAGTGCTGGGGATTTAACTCAGAACCTTGTGCTTGCCCGACAGGCACGGCACCACTGAGCTACATCCAGCCTGCTGTTTTTATTAACTTTAACAGTTCTTCTGGCCCAGCCACAGGGCCAGGGAGGGGGTAGATTGGCAAGGCCCCTGTTTTCTGATCAGTAAACCCTACATTGACACATTTTCATTTAAATCTTTAATTTTAGAAAAGTTCTCGAAGTAATAACCTTTACCATACACATTTGCTAGTGTAGAGAATCACATTGTGCGCTTGGTCATTATGTGATTAAAACCTGAGAGTTTTTCTCTACGTTTCTGTTACATGTTAATCCTTTCTCAGCCTGGCTGAGGTGAGTTACAACTCGTAAAGTTGAATCCCTTCAAGTGTCTCTGGATACAGGAGCTGTATAATTTACTTCATGGTATGCGGTTTATGGGATGTCTGCATAAGGAAATGCCACTTTCGGTGATCAAAAGAATGTGTAAAATGCCAGTCAGGAGATAGAAAGCATCTTAAACAGTGAAGATCTTTTCCTTCCTTTCCTTTCTGTTTTTGGTCCTGGGGTTGAACCCTGGTTTCTCCTGCATGTTCTCCAAGTGCTCTGCCACTGAGTCACAACCCAGCCCTTTTATTTTTTACCTCAAGAGCTGCCTAGGCTGGCCTCCGACTTCTGATCCGCCTGCCTCAGCCTCCTCAGTAGCTGGGATTAGAGGTGTGCAGCACCGTGACTGGCTAAAATTTCTCTTTTTATGTCGTCGTTCCTTATAGCAGCTTTCCTTATGCATACATAGTATGTCCTGTGCAGATCTGGGGTCGGTACGCTGATAAATGTATCAGGTCCCACAAATTGTCTGTGCACAGGCCGGGCAGGTGCAGGGGTGGCCGGGATTGAGCTGGATTTAACGTGCTACAGTGTATGAACTATTTAATTTGCGAAGCCAAGCTATCAGCCTGTGCTCCACCTCCCATGCAGTGGAATTGAGAACCCCACTTCCTGGTGTTCAAGATAGTTAACTGAAAGTTTACTTCAGAATTCATAGAATTGGAGTTGGAAGCAGGCCTCTCTGCTGCAGGCTGTCTCACAAATCATGGCGGACTGAAATCTGCCACCGAACCTGCTTCTGTCTTGCTTGGCTCCCAGCATCGCTCTAGGGGCCCGTCCACGGCAGGAGCCACTCCAGGAAGTGTCAGCGGGCGTCAGTCACTGTGGCTCCTGGGGTTGGGGTGTGGGGTGCAGCCAGGTCCGGCTGGAGTCCCAGGTGCCACTCAGCAGAGCATGGGGCAGAGCGGCCCGGCCTCTGGGGTGGCAGACGAGGCCTGGGAGGAGTGCACGTCACCACTGAGGGACCCGGAGGGGCCAGGCCTGCCAGGGACACGGCGGCCACCGTGGGGACTTGGGTGGGAAGTGGGACAGGAAGGCCTTAGTGTCGCCTCTGGTCCAGGAGCCGAGGGCAAGCTGCAGTGGCCACCTGAGGTGCCAGCTTGGTGTCGGGTGATGGAGTGGTGGCAGCCGGGGCAGCAGCAGAGTCCCCATCTGCATGGGGCGCAGGGGCCCTGGTCACGCTGAGGGGTTTCCGTGCCAGGCGGTGGCGGCAGAGCCACCCAGGTGCTGCTTGTGCCCTCTGTCGGGGGCGTCCACTTGCTGTCCTGAGCTGGGAGAGAGGGAGGGAGCTGTCACCAGGCACAGTGACAGGAAGGAAGCTCCAGGGGAGTTGGAGGCTGCAATTTCAACCAGAAAGCCAAAACTAGACAAGCGGACCCCATCCTGTGGGCATCTTTGTACGCATCTTGGTTTTCAGCATCACCTCAGGGCACAAACAAGGTCACAGCCATAAGTAAAACTGTGCTTCCGGGTGCAGCGGATGGCCCGGTGCTGGCCTGGGCCCTGACGTGGACAGTGGTAAGGTCTGAACGCCACACCACACCCACTTCCCAGGGCTTCGGGGTTCCGCCGTCTCCACCCTGCCCAATCCCAGTTTGTCTCCCAGGGCTGCGGGCCCAGGGGCCACTGCCTGGCGGTGCTGGAGTCTGTAGGGATGAAGAGGGGAAAGGGACCCTCTGGGCAGTTGGGACGGTGGCCAGGGACACCTAGGGGTGCGGGAGAGGCGAGAGCCCCATGAAGTCTCTCGGGCACATCTGCCTTTGTGGCTGGCTGAGGCTGCAGCGGAGATAAAAACCAGGCCGCTGCGGTTATGAGTCAGGTCCTGGCTGTCTGAGCCGACTGTGGCCCCAGTCACTGTGCACAAGTCCTGGCTCCCGGCCTGGACAGGTCTCCCACCCCCACGGAGACTGCCAGAGGTGACGTGATGCTGCTGCACTCAGCCTGGCCTCCACCTGCCTGTGTGTCTAGTTTCTCCACGTGTATCCAAAACACAGAATTCTGAGTCTGTGGCTAAACTGATCTATGAGATTATATGTTTGATATTTCTTAAAGTTTTTTTTTTTGGGGGGGTTGAACTTGGAACCTTGCACTTGTGAAGCAGGTGGTGGCACCACTGAGCTAAACTCCGGCCCACCTAGAAGACTTTTGAACAAAATCCCCCAAATTCCCCGAACTAAGTAGATATTCCCGGAAATCGCTGGGAGAAAGAAAGCAACAGCTGCTTCTATTTACAGATGCCCTCAGCCCGGCTGCCCGGAAGGCTGAGTTGGTTGTCTCCGGCTGGTGGCCTGGATGGAGCAGGTGGCAGAGGGAGCCTGGCAGGCGCTGCCCGCCCAGGGCTTCGGACTCCAGAGATGCGGAGCGGTGAGACAGTCACAGGAGCCGAAGGCTGCCGTGAGGGGCTGGGCCCCTGAGCCGCGTCCCCAGGGCTCCCCGTGAGGACCCCACATGAGGGCAAGCCAGCGTGTACAGCTCTGGGCCCGTGTGGCCGGCGACGGGCTCGGCTGGGTCCCCGGGTCCCGTCGCTCCTCCTTCCTGTCTCCTCCCTGAGACTCTGTCCTCAGCACCTGGCTGCCCTGAGTGGTACTTGCAGTCTCACTGTGGGATCGGAAACTGTCATGACTGTCTGCAAGGTGCTGCCAAAAACCACAGCGAACGTTTGAATTAAAAAGAGATATTGTAGGAAGAGACACATCACCATGGATGCCCTGAAATCCCCTCATTTTCAGCGCACCCATCCGCCATCCTCACCGCTTCCTGCAGCAGCTCTGGAGTCCCCTCTCCTGAGTGTCTTCGGTTGTGCTGTCCTGACTGCCTCGATGTCCTGAATTGATTCAAAATGTTTCTCTTTCATGGTCATTTTTACTTTGGGGAGGAGCCAAAAGTCGCACAGTGCCAGATCTGCTGAATCAAAGATTAATATAGATAATTTTTCTTTTTTGAGATGGAGTCTTTGGATGCAGCCCAGGATGGTCTGGAACTCATGGCAATCCTCCTGCCTCAGCCTCCCAAGTGCTAAGATGACAGGCATTCACCACCATGTCTGGCCCCAGTAGAAGAATTTTTTAAAAGTTACACAACTGAGTCATAATATTTTTTAAAGCTCTTCATCTAGGCTTGACGCAGTTTGGTTTGACTCCTAGCTGGGCAAGATGAGGGTGTCGGTTCTGCTACAGTGCCTCCCTTCCTGAACTCCAGAGCTTAGGGTTTTGACCTTCGAGTTTGGATACATGCACCGTGCAGTCCACTTTACACTCCAGTGAAGAGACTCGCTGCATGGTGCCCCTCCTGGTACATGAGTTCACCTTCACTTGCTTTTAAAAATAATTGCACACCAATTATGGACTTCATCGAGGAAGGGTTGGGGCTGTCCAGGTTTCTGATTCTCTGGCCTTTGGACGTTTTCCTGTGCCTTTATCCTGGAACCACCCCTGGGCTGGGAAGGAGCGTCTTTGGTGACCCAGCTTCCCCTGCAGAGCTCTGCAAATGGCTTCACCATTGGCTTGCACTGTATTTATAGGGAAATTTACTCCATTTCTGCATGAAACGTTGTGTGTGCGCTCTATGTTTCTTACCCATTATTCAAGGTGTGACCTAAAAAACATGGTGTGTAAGCTCACACCTATAATCCCAGCACATGGGAGGCTGAGGCAGGAGGATCACCACAAGTTCAAGGCCAGCCTGCACTACACAGCAAGAACCTGTCTCAAACAAACAGACAAACAACCCCCAAAACCCCAAAGAGCAAAACAAAAACAAATAAATAAAACAGTGCATTTAAATTTTTAAAGAATTTTTTTATAGCGGGCTGGGGATTTAGCTCAGTGGTTCCGCTGCCTGCCTCACAAGCACAAGGATGAGAGTTCGATCCCCAATACCAAAAATAATAATAATAATAATTTTTTATAGTAAAAGATCCATTGCCATTAATCTCTCTAGAGTCCCCTCACTTCAAACACACTCATCTCATCTTTCCGCCATGTTTGGTGTTAAAGTTTCGAAGTTCCCTACGAGTATTCGAGATACTGATCCTGTATGGGGTAAAAGGCAGACACTTGTCTCCCGCCCCTCCCTGTGGACTGTTCCTGTGCTGTGAAGAAGCCCTCCTTGTGATGCATCCTGCTCATCAACCCTTGGCGCTGCTCCCTGAGCCGCTGGAGCCTCACTCAGGACGGCACGCTGACCACTGCCCTCTGCTTTCCTCCAGCTCTTGCAGGTCTTGCATTGGGCCTCCGACCCCTGTACAGTGGGTTTTTCTCCAGGGCGAAGGAGAGGGGCCCAGCTTCACCTCCTCTGGTAGGTGTGCAGTTGCACAGCACCATCTTCTCCCCAACATGTGCTTTGGCTTCTTTGGCAAGGGTCAGGTGGCTGGGATACATGGGTTTGTCTCTGGGCCTCTGTTCTACGCTGTTGGTCTCTGAGTCTATTTTTATGCAAGCACCATTGGTTTTTGCTAAAGTTGCTTTGCTATTTGTTTGATTTTTCTTCAGTATTGGGGATTGAACCCAGAGCCTCCCACATGCTAGGCAAGTGCTCCAGTCCTGTGCTACATCCTTAGTCCTTTATTATTATTATTTTTTATTTTGAAACAGTATCTCCTTAGGTTGATCAGGCTGGTCTTGGATTTGTGATCCTCTTGCCTCAGCCTCCCTGGTAGATGGGACTACGGGTGTGTGTCACCATGCACTGCTCACTAGAGTATATTTCAGAATCAAGTATTGTGATGTCTCCAGCATTGCTTATTTTACAAAGGATTGCTTTGGCAGTTCAGGATCTCTTGTGCTCTGTCAGAATTGTAGGACTGTTTTTTTCTACTTCTGTGAAGAATGGCATTGGCACTTTGATGGGGATTGTGTTGACTTTGTGGAGTGCTTTTCATATGCACAATATTAATTTCCCCAATCCATGAACATGGTACACCATTCCATCTTTCCATCTTCTAATGTCTCCCTCAATTTATTTCTTCAGCATTTTACAATTTTCCCTGCCAAGGTCTCTCCCCACTTCTTGGTTAGTTTACACCTAAGGTTCTTGTTGCTGGTGTTATTTTGAGGCTAATCTGGTACCCTGGTACCCACTGTTAACTGGGGTATGGTGTGGCTGTTTATGAATGGCATTATTTTCCTGATTCCTATTTTAGCAAGTTCATTGATGTATTGAAAAGTCAGATTTTTGTGTTGATTTTGTAACCTGCTACTTTACTGAATTTTTTTTTTAATTGATTCTGAGACTTTTGGTGGTTTTCTAGGCAGGAAATCATGTCATTTGCAAATAAAGAGATAATTTGAAGGCGGGTGTGGTGGTGCATGCCTGTAATCCCAGCACTCAGGAGGCTGAGGCAGAAGGATTGCTGTGAGCTCAAGAGCAGCCTGGGCTATATAGTGAGTTCCGGGGCAGTCTCAACTACTTAGTGAGACCCTGTCTCAAAAAAAAAAAAAAAAAAATTGACTTTCTCTTTTCCCATCTGTGTCCCATTTGTTTCTTTCTCTGGCCTGATTGCTCTGGTTGAGGTGTCCAGTGCTGTGTTGATTAAGCATGGTGAGTGGACACCTTTGTTTTGCTCCTGATTTTAGAGAAACATTGTCAGTTTCTCTCCACTCAGTGTGGTATTAGCTTTGGGTTTAACTTTCAGCCTTTGCTATGGTGAGATATGATTCTTCCATCTGACCCTGAAAAGGTGTTTATCTGAAGGATGTTGAAATTTATGGAAGGCTTTTCTGCATTATTCAGCTGATCATGTGATGTTTATCCTTGATTCTATTTATGTGGTATATTATTACATATTTGTTTGCATATATTGAACCAACCTTGGATCCTTGAAATGAAACCAACTCAATCTTGTACTCAGGACCTTACACTTGTGAGGCAGGCAGCAGCACCACTGAGCTAAATCCCTGGCCCTATGAACTTTTTTTTTTTTTTTTTTTGAGACAGGGTCTCACTATGTAGTTGAAACTTATCTGGAACTCACTATGTATCCTAGGCTGGTCTGGAACTCACAGTGATCCTCCTGCCTCAGCCTCCTGAGTGCTGGGATTACAGGCGAGCATCTACACGCCTGGCCCCTATGAACTTTTTAATGTGATGTTGAATTCAATGTGCAAGTTTTGGGGTTTTGTTTTGTCTCTTTGAGAAAGAGTCTATTAGCTCTGGCTGGCCTTGAGCTCACTATGTAGCCTGGGCTGGACTTAAACTTGCTGTGACCTTCCTGCCTCAGCCTCCCAAACAGTAGGATTACAGATGTGCACCTCCATGCCCAGCTAATGTGCAAGTATATTTGTGAGAATTTTTGCATGTTCACTAAGGCTTTTGCCCTATAGTTTTTCTTTCTTCCTTCCTTTTTCTCTGTCTTTTTGTTATATCCTTATCTGGTTTTGGTAGTGGCATAATACTGGCTTTGCTGAATGAGTTTGTGAGAACTTTTTCCTTTCTATTTTACAAAATGGTTTAAGGGGCCCTGGTGTTCTTTGCAAGTCTGGTAACATCAGCCATGCAGCCATGGGTCCTGGGCTTTGCTTTGTTGGGAAACTTTATTACTGCTTCCATTTCATTGCCTGGTATGGGTCTCTTCAGGGTTTTGTTTTTTAAAATATTTTTCACTAAAGTAGGTAAATTTGTTGTTTTTGTTTTGAGACCAGGCCTTGCTATGTAGCCCAGGCCGGCAGCGAACTCATGGTGAGCCTCTTGCCTCAGACTCCTGAGTGCTGGGATCACAGGAGTGTGTGGCCACACTCAGCTCAGTTGGGTTAACATTTAGAGAGGGTTTGATTTTATCTCTGGTCATCTCTTGGTTATATGGTTTTAAAATTCTGTGCATGAAAGGTTTCATCCCAGAGTGAATGCGACACACTCCCACACCCACTCAGTTCACAGGGAAGGCCACAGTGGACCTGAGCCTGGGAGCACAGGGGCATCTTCCACACAGCCTGCCAAGCACCAACCCCAGCCACTGCATCATTTCCTGTGCTGGCACCTCTGCCCTCTTGGGACAACCTCTGCCAAGAGCTGAGCTGCCCCACTCCACGGGGCCCTAAGGTCGAATGGGCCTCCACTCAGCTTCCCCTCGAGAGGTCATGTGTGCCTTTGCCACCCTGACTCACTGCCCTGTTGGAGCAGATTGATTTTCCCGACAGCTGTTTCACCACCACTCTCTGCACTAAGGACAAACCCGCATTCTTTTGGGATGTGGCCTGAAGAGGGGTGGTGGCTGCTCCAGCCTCCTGGCAAGGTCGTGGGGAGTCTGTCCAGGACTGCTCGCACTGACACAGATTCTGCAGGCCAGCTGTCCCCGGCATTCTGGAATCCAGGGTCTTCTTTCCAGTGGCAGAAACATCCTGCCACCTGTCATTTTATTTTAAAACCTTGGCCTGCCTCGCAGATTGCAGTGCCCTGAGCCACCCCCTCAGCGTGAAAGGTCCCTGGGCTGGTTGAGGGCCTGGGCCACAGGGTAGGAGGGGCGGCTGCCCAAGTCCTGAGGCTGGGACACATGTCCCATTACCCCAAACTTCCCTACCAGGTCCCTATTGCCGCTGGGGGCTGCAATTCCTGGGCTACAAGCCCCTGTACTTTGTGTTAATGAACAGCAAGAACCAAGATTCAAGCTGGGCGTGGTGGTGCACACCTGTAATCCCAGCCAGTTATTAGGGACCCCTGAAATGTTACTGGACACCTCTGCAGTGGGCTCCAGTCTCCTGCTCAGTGTACAGTGCAAGCCTGAGAAAAAACCTAAGACAGAACTAAGAGACAGAGAAACTGGGGAGCCAGGAAGGCCAGTGCAGCAAAGGTGCTGGTCCGTCCAAACCATTGATTTTTATTAGTCATCAATCAGGTTAAAGACAAGCTACATAGGAGGGTGGGACTACGTTCAAGGAAGTGCAATCATGCAGTTTTAATAAAAACTAATGGAGGCAAGGCTCATAAAAGACAAGACAAAACATTCTCAATAAAAACAAAATAGCCAGGGATTTAGCTCAGTGGTTCTGCCACCTGCCTTGTAAACGCAAGGTCCCCAGTTTGATCCCCAGTACAAAAACAAAAACAAAAATGACACAATATATGGTTATAATTAAAGCATTGTCCGTCTAGTTAAAAAGGTTTTTTTTGTTTTTTGATTTTTTTTGAGACAGGGTCTCACTATGTAGTTGAGACTGACCTGGAACTCACTGTGTAGCCCAGTCTGGTCTCGAACTCACAGCGATCCTCCTGCCTCAGCCTCCCTAGTGCTGGGCTTATGGGTGTGCACCACCATGCCCGGCTTGGATCTCAGCTCCTGCTGTTTGTTAACTGGAAAGCACTAGGCCTTGTAGCCCAGGAGTTGCAGCCCCCAGCAGCTGTAGGGACCAGGGGTGGAAGTGTGGGGGACTGGCATGTCCATGACAGGGATGGGCCAGGCGGCTCTCCAGGCACCTTGAGGTGGCAGTGGGATTTCTGCATTGCTGGGTGGTCCCACTTTTTCAAGTCAAACCAGAAGCCTGAATTTCTCTTGAATGTTTCCTGTTTTTAACCATGGAGACCCACGTGAGACAGAAGTGCTTCTAACATCATGGGAAGGTGTTAGCCCCCAGCTGCGGCCCTGGTCTGCGGCCTGGCTGTGCTCCAAGGCTGGCACCGCTGTTTCCGCCCAGCTCACTGCTTCAGGAGTGTGAGCATCTCCCGACCCGGGCTTCAGCAAGCACAGTGATGGTTCTCAGCCTTTAAAGAAGCCCCAGCTCAGGACTCTGCCCATCTTGCAGATGAGCTCTGTGCTCGGGGACCCCAACTTGAGGACAGCCTGATGGCTACCTGATTGCGTGGACTGTAGCCCAGGAGCCACCAGCTGCCACTCAGGCCCGTGAGAGGCAGGCAGGCAGGAGCTGTAGTGAAACACCTGGTTGTACCTAGTTCTGTAAAGCTTCAGGCAGCTCGAGCCCCAGCCCTAAGTGGTAGTAAAAAAGCTTTCAAGAAATCAGGGCCAGAGATGTAGCTCAGTGGTTCTGCCGCGTGCCTGGCAAACGCAAGGACCTGAATTTGATCCCGGTACCAAAAAATAAAATAAAATAAAATAAAATCTATGAAAGCTTCTGAATTTCCAGCCAGATGTGATGCATGCTGGGAAGTCTTTGTAAGATCCCACGCACTCTGATCCAAGGCACACAGAACAGTGGAATGCGTGGTTTTGCTGGACAGCTCAACCCAAACATAAATCACATCCAGCACATTGTGTGGATCACAAATCCCATTTTCCAAAGGAATGGGGTAAGACCCTGCCGCCTTTTGAATATGACCTAAAATGCCCAGGATACTGTGTGGCAGTACCTTGGTCCTATTTCCCTTTCCGCAGTAACCGACTGGGTGACGTGGACGAGGAGAGGAAACAGGAATGTCAAGTCAACATTCTGCTCAGGCCTTCCCAGGAGGAACTTTGTCAAGAAAGTGATTGACAGTAGTCCAGCCAGAAATTGAGAAATAACCAATTAATAATGGATTGTTTTCAGATTTGCACCAACGCCTTTGAACCTTCTAAAGCTCTGTTCTGAACCGACCTGAACAGGTGAGTGACACAATGAATGGGGAGAGAGAGAACTTTCACATGGAGGAAGATGCACCCGAGGAAACTTCTGGGGCAGCAGTGGGAGCTTTACGGTCTGAAGCCTCCTCCAAATACCTAAGGATCCCATGGGGTGAGGAGGTGTCCGCCACCTCTCGCCTGAGTGAGGGATCAGAGAGGGTCCTGGCCACGGGCCACGTGAGGACACGGTGCCTCTGTGACCTGCTCGAGAGCCCCCGCCCAGGTCTGGTCACGAGGGTGGTGGGGTGAGCCCGAGGCAGCAGGGGGCCTGTGAAGTGTCCCCGTCACGGGACTGGGAAGGACGCGTGTTCCAGGTGCCAGAGGCGGGCTGACCATGTGCACAGCTCGGCCCAGCGCGGAGCCCTCATGGAGTGAGGAGCCCCTGGCCACAGCGCTGAGCTCTGTGGAGGGTGGGCCAGACGGCCGGTGAGGACAGCAGGATGCACTGCCCCACAGCTCAGGGACAGGAGTTTGAGATCCAGCATACAGCTGCAGGACAAGGTCACATCTGGTTGGGTCTGAACCTGCCCTGGCCTCTCCTGGCCTATGCTCCATGTCCCTGGGTGTGGAGGAAGTGTCCTGGCTCTGCGCCCTCTGCACACGGTGCCCAGTTATGTGTCTATGCTACAAGGAGGACACCAATCCTGCCTGCCGGACAAGGCCCAGCCCATGTCAGGCCCGCCCTACTGGTCACACCTGCAGTCATTTGTGTTTCAGAGAGATGTACGGAGCTACTCCAAGTGCCCTGAGGCAGTGCTCCTCTCTCCAGGGCCCCAGAATCCCAGCCTGAGGCCTGCAGGCTGGTGTTCCTGGCCAGAGAGATGCCTCGGGCTCAGATCCTCCTAGCTCTGTCTTTGGCGAGTTTTGTGTCTGTCAGGGGCCCCAGGGAGGGTAAGATCAGAAAGGGGGTTCCGAGAGCCAGGGCCACCACAGGGTCAAGTGCTGCGGATAAGCCGCACCTGGCCTACGAAGTCCGGACAGCAGTGTCCACGTGCAGCTCCACTCGGGGTGCTGGGACCTGGCTCAGACCCAGGGCTGCGTGCAAGGCCACACCAAGGATGCTCAGGAGCCCCTGGCTGGCCCTGCTGTCTGCACCAAGCAGGCGGACACGGGCGCGTCCACATCCAGCAATAGAGGTGCACAGCAGAGGTCGGAGACTGGAGCCGACCCTATGCACCCACTCAGCTGCCAGTGAGCCCTCTGCACCAGTGGTTCTCACTCTGCCTGGGGGTGCGCATACGCCTGAGTGTTTCTGATTTTTTGTTTCAAGGGCACAGCACACGTCCTCAGCACACACCTGCTGACCTCCTGGGCCTTCCCGTGCAGCCTCACCCCGGCTTAGTGTCTCCTGGAAGCCCGTCACCCACCAGTCCTGTGGGCAGAGCACGGACAGCCCCCAGGACCTGGAACGAGCACAAGGCAGCAGGCCCTGCCTTCACTATGCTGCGCCTCTCGAGGGGTTCACCCCAAAGACTGGACACACGTGAGGGTGACACCACAGTCCCCAGGAGAGCTGTGACCCATGTGCAAGTTTCACCTCTAAGCCCGTGGCCCAGGGTTCAGGTCAGTTCTGTGGCGGACACACCACTGTAGGAGTGGAACCGTGGCCACATGGAGCCTGGCTTTGTACCCCAGCTTCCTGACTGCCTGCACGTGCTGGGGACAGGCTGTGTGTCCCTAGAACAGCAGGCCCCGCAGTTATCCAGAGCAAGCTCTCACCCGCCGCCAGGTCCCGGGGTCACCCATGTTCCCTCATCATCTGTCTGACGGATGCTCCCGTTCTGTGCACCTGCTGGTGTTGTCCTTGGATTCTTTCCTGTTCTCTCCCTGTGTTGGGGAATTGCGGTTACGCACGTGGCCCCTGGAGCTTCACGCCCTGACATGCGCAGTCTCTCATCGCTGAGAAGCCTCTGTCTCCACGGTGTGAGGGCCGTCTCACCTGGATGCAGGCACCCCCCCAGTCGGGGCGCCCTTCCCTGCCTGGCCCCTCAGCGACGCCCACACCCACGCCCACGATGCACATGTCAGAGACTGTGTGGACTCGGGTCTGACTTAAAACAATCGGGTCTAAGGGCTCTAGGGCACTTTCCGTTTATATGCAATCATCAGCACGAGGGGAATTGTGTCTATGATTTTGCTATTTTGTTTTCCCCATTTTACCATCCCTGACTATGTCATTCCCTTTCTTCCTTGGGGGAAATTGGAAGGCAGCGTGGCACCCGCCTGACTCCGTGGGGTCCTCTGCCCTGATCCATACCAGCTGCCCACATGGTTGAATGCGTCAGTTGTGCGCCAACATCTGTGACACTGTTTGAATTGTAATTTTTATGAATTTGCAGTGCACGGCGATTGTGTCCACCGTGGAGGTGGTGTCCAGAGCACGGCTGCATTCCTCCCACATCCCTCCCTGTGGGGCTCCGGCCTGGGTTGCCCCGGTCTGTGGCCATAAGTCCTCTCCTTCGGACAACCCCAGGATGTCCTCGAGGACTCAGGTGAGCAGTCCCGGCCGGCCAGGCCGTCCCCACTGCCTGGTTCTCAGAGCCACTCCGAGGCCCTGCCCTGCAGGTTCCCACTGAGCCGGGGCCTGAGCGGCACAGCCCCATGCCTCAGTGTCCCTAATTGCTCGAGAGCATCTGCAGTAGCACTGTTGAGGACAGCACGGCTGCTGTGTGGTGTGGGGACACCAGCCATGCATGTGGGGGGCTGTCACTCTCCCACCTGCCCTGGGCTGCTGTCCCCAGGGTCCCTGTCCCCAGGCCATCTCTCCACCGCCCCCTCCAGTCCACCCTGGCAGCACCCACTGGATTTCTGTCTGGGAGCAGAGCGGAGACCTGGCCATGGGCTCCCTCGCTCACAGCTACCCAATGCCTCCAGAGCGCAGAAGATTCAGGCTGGGATGCAGACATCCTTTCCCCACTTCCTGGGGATGTGGGAGACCCCAGGGCTTTGGGGCAGCCAGACACCAGGTTCAGATCTGTTCATTGGGTCCCAGGGCATCTTCTGCAATGGGACACTAACTAGGACACTTAGGTGTAGGAATTAAAAGGTGGCTGGGTACCCACCTGTAATTTCAGTACTCTGGGAGGCTGAAGCAGGAGGATCAGGATTTCCACCTGAGCGATTTAGCGACTTATTGAGTCCCTGTGTCAGAGTCTGAACTCCACGTGGCAGGGACACACACATTTCTCTGGGTAGCACTGACAGTTTAGAAAAACAGGCTGTAAAGGAGCTGAACAGCTGCATCGCAGAGGCAGGAAGGTCCCTGCTGTGTAGAAGCTGAGCCCCCTGCTGCGGGGTGCTGGGTGGAGTGGAGTGGGGTGGGGAGGATTGGTGGGGGAATG